CTCAGTCCTGAGCCTCCCCCCATCCGGCGGTGCCAAGCCGATGCCACACTGCCACCTGCAACCCAAACCCAACAATGCAGCTTCTCCTGTCCAAGGTATGCGGACCCCAAGTCAGTGCAGGAAGCACCACCATGCGTTCCTTCCAGTCATAAGAACAGGAGCCCCCCAAGTCATGGAATCCAGGAGATCAGTGCAGACCCCAAGTCACGGAATCCAGGAGATCAGTGCAGACCCCAAGTCACGGAATCCAGGAGATCAGTGCAGACCCCAAGTCACGGAATCCAGGAGATCAGTGCAGACCCCAAGTCATGGAATCCAGGAGATCAGTGCAGACCCCAAGTCATGGAATCCAGGAGATCAGTGCAGACCCCAAGTCATGGAATCCAGGAGATCAGTGCAGACCCCAAGTCATGGAATCCAGGAGATCAGTGCAGACCCCAAGTCACGGAATCCAGGAGATCAGTGCAGACCCCAAGTCACGGAATCCAGGAGATCAGTGCAGACCCCAAGTCACGGAATCCAGGAGATCAGTGCAGACCCCAAGTCATGGAATCCAGGAGATCAGTGCAGACCCCAAGTCATGGAATCCAGGAGATCAGTGCAGACCCCAAGTCATGGAATCCAGGAGATCAGTGCAGACCCCAAGTCATGGAATCCAGGAGATCAGTGCAGACCCCAAGTCATGGAATCCAGGAGATCAGTGCAGACCCCAAGTCATGGAATCCAGGAGATCAGTGCAGACCCCAAGTCATGGAATCCAGGAGATCAGTGCAGACCCCAAGTCATGGAATCCAGGAGATCAGTGCAGACCCCAAGTCATGGAATCCAGGAGATCAGTGCAGACCCCAAGTCATGGAATCCAGGAGATCAGTGCAGACCCCAAGTCATGGAATCCAGGAGATCAGTGCAGACCCCAAGTCATGGAATCCAGGAGATCAGTGCAGACCCCAAGTCATGGAATCCAGGAGATCAGTGCAGACCCCAAGTCATGGAATCCAGGAGATCAGTGCAGACCCCAAGTCA